TATTCTCGAATATTTCTGGTATTCACGTACAGACGAACAAGCATCCCTCACAAAGCGTTTCTCTAATTCCTAAGATTCATTAAATGCATCGCTATTATGAGACGCTCATCGTCGACCTTTTGAACTTGACATTTTCTCAAACCTTGAATTTTAAACTTACTTGAGTGGCTTATGCTATATGCCGCTGTATAAGCTCGTATATCAAAAATTCCGCGTGAAGCCTGACATTTAGATATATTCTCTAAAAGTGAATCAGTGTATTATCACTGAAAAACAGTAAATAGTCACTGATTACAGCAGTTATAAGTACAGCACTGTAAATCAGTGATATTTTATTGAAAGAATTAGTTAATAATTTTGACTGTTTCAATCAGTAATATTTCTCAATATTAATAATATTTCTTCCTATTGTCCAGTAATATTAAACTATAATTCATCTCTTCGTAATTTTCATTAAATCGTCAGACATTTATTTGTCCGACTTATATAAGATCGATAATACCTGAAGCCTCTCTATTGAGATTGTATCAGAAATTAAATCGAAGTAATACTTCTAATTTTATCTGTCGCTCTTTCCAAACTTTATATAATTCTTATGACTAAAACTAAATATGAGAGAGATAGCGATCATAGTGGTAAACAAACGAATTAGGGATTACTAGTTTTACAGTGAAATTTACTGGTTTTATAGTGAATTTTATTTTAATTAACTAGCCATAATCTGAGTGAAATATAAGATAAAATAACAAAAAAATAAGCGTTTCCATTAAAAATCAATAAAATACTTACTGATTCTCAGTGAAATCTTATTTTACTATTTAAATTAGTGATATTTTCACTAATTTAACTCACTTTTAGAGAGTAGAATTCATATTTGTCAAAGTTTTATTGCTTTTCTCCGTTCTTTCTATGTATTTTATCGAACTTCAATCCAAATTGATATGGATCATGGTTCAAACTTACACTTTAAAAAACTTTGACATGCGCATTTATTGAATTCCGCATAAATGCGCGATCATATTAAGCGAAATTCAGGACACAACTGCATACGGAGACGTATGATAAAATATTTCTAACATTCCATACTAGGGCGGAAAGATAGGGCGGAAAGATAGGGAGGTATGTAGGAGGAGGTCGGACGTATCTTTACTACGTCCATTCGGTTAACGAGCGATAAAAAGAATCCATCCGTGGCAACGGCATTGACGCATATCCTGTGGATTAGAATCCTCTGATTCCTCTCGAATTCGTCTTGAGTTTCGTCAGAGTGATCTCCATGACGGCGCAAGTTTATCGAGGACAATCGAGGCGCCATAGCGCAATAAATAATTAATATCCGGTGCGCCGTGCTGAATTGCTCTCAGAGACAAAATCCATCCGTATAGGCACATCAATAAATTTACACATTTTTCAGTCTAACGAATAATTGCTAGAAAACAATATTCGTAAACTAGAAAAATATGTGAGGACCTCACACTTAATGTTGCATTTTAACACAGTGATATGCGACTCCAGAGCGATGTTGGTATCTCACTTAATAGATGCAATGTTGATTGTCATGGAGGATCCCTGAAAATTCGCTCGCTGACCAAATAAGTGCCGGTGAAGGTATTCGCGTACATGCTGGCTTCCGACTGGCCTTCCGCATGAAAACGACGAGCGTAGAGTGACCACATCCCCCAAGATCCCTCTAGTATATATTAAAATTTCCACTGTACGAAATAGCAGTGGCGGATAGACCTTAATAGGGCCGGGACAGACCTCCAGAGAAAGATAGGGATGCACAGAAAAAAAGTAAATGTCAAATCAAAACTTATATACTTAAACTAACGGGTTCATTGTTTCATATATACACTAAGGGAAAAATTTTTTTGAATCAAATAAATTTGTTTTCTTGAAACTTTTACTCTAAAGGAATTGTTTATTTCATTTAAGCAAAAGCATTTAATTTTAATTAAATATGCATGTTATATTAAGTACATTATTTTCATTTATATATTTTTTATATTTAAATACTATTTTCGTAAAATATATACTATAATTTATTAAATTAAATATATTATTTTTTTAAATTAAAAAATTTTAAATTTTTGGAAAAAAAATGCATTTTAATAAATATTTTGTAAAATTAAAATATAAAAATATTTAATTAAAAATTATATTTTTTTAAGCATATATTTTTTTAAATATATGTAAATAAATACTTAACTTAAGCAAACAGACGTTTTGAATACAAGTAAATACGTGATTAGTATCCACCGAATAAATAGCTTTCTTGAGTTAACTAAAATTTTTTTATTTCAAGATAATTTTTTTCTCAGTGTACGAAACAATTTATAATCTTCTCAGAAGAATTTAATAATTTTAAATTTCAACAATATTATAGTTTTATTAGTAATATTGTAATTGTCACCTCAAGAATATATAATTATTTAATTCTACTTTGAGAAAATTATAATCTTTGATTTAAAAATGTTATTTTCTGTCTAACATTGTTTGTTTTTCATTCAAGAAAATTAAATCTTAAATCATAAGAATATATTTTTCTTGATTGAACTATATAAAATGGCTTCATTCAAGTAAGCAATTATTCAAGCAATTATATTTTTCTTTAATTAACGCAATATAATCTCATTTCAAGATTTCCATGTTAAAACTAAATATATTTTTAAACAACAAGAATGTCCTTTTTTCTGTGTGTGAGAGGAGGTCGGACGTGTCTTTACGCCCATTTGGAAATGAATGATCGATATTGAACGCATTTTGCCACCATATGCTATTCAATCCTGCAACAGGTCCAGATAATTTCTCAGAGATCCTGGAATTTGCAAACTTTTAATTCCGCGAGGCAGCGCCCAATTCATGTAGAGAATTTCGCGGATTCGGCAACGGCACAAATGCTTCAGTTCTGCCGGACAGACTCCACTACGTTCCGGAGGTATCAGATTTCGATTTGCCAGATTAGGATACTGCTCATACAAGGACACACTGAGAATACCGATGTGATTGGCAATGTGATCGGGAGTCCTGACGCAGACGGTGGTCACGGTTCGCAGTAGCAGTTTCAGACACGTTAGTAGGTGTTCCGGATAAACGATCTCTTGATCAGGTTGTGCTTCGAATTCGCTGAGTTTTGTCAGGATGATCTCCATTGGTGATGGGGCAAGTTTATCAGATTCAATTGAGGCGCCATAGCGCAACATGATTAATAGGATATCCGGTGCACCGTGCTGAATTGCAACTCTCAGAGGCAAAACCTGTCCGTATGACTCCATAGGCACATCAATAAAGCGTCTCTTTATCAACGAGGACTCGCAACGGTATTCTAACCGGCCACTGATTGCGTGATTTAAGAAATACACCAAGGCCCGAATATTGTCCTCGCGATCATCAAAATCACATTTCCACCCGGACAGAAAGTGTGTTACGCGTGTGCCAAAAATCGCCCCGACGAACAATCGTTCGAATGTCTTTTCACAATAAAATATGTCGTTTAGCAATCGGCTGACGATTTCGTTGTTGCCGATGTCCCAGTCGTAGCAGAGCTTTGCCGCCACGTAAAGTACGTTGTGAAATTTGCCGAGTAGGCAGACCGATCCGTTCTCCATCATCGTGATATTGTGATAACGCAGGGCCGAGATGACGATCCTCTCGCACACGTCCTGTTTGTCGAGATTCTCCGCTGAAAGAGTCAAATAATCGTGATTCGTCGATCGTATCGCAAATAAAATATTTCTCCGCGTAGAACGCGGGCGAGGAATAGAGATGCAAATTGTTCTGGAATTTGTGGCGATGCGTTTACGGCGTGTGGTATTTTTCACCGTTACCGCAACGGCATTGGCGAAACAAAGACAAATAGAAGGATAGGATTAGGCAAGTTTAATGTAACGGTAAGATGATAATGGGCTGCGATATCTTTGCACGTTTCAAGTATTCATGTCATGGAAAGACAGATAAGAAATTAGCGGATAAAACCATCGTTAATACATGTTCGCATCATCGTCGTCTATGAGTAAATTTAGGAATTTTCTGTTGAATATTCGTGTGATAAAATTACATCGATGTTATCATGGTAATGATTATCGATCCATAAATGTAATTAGTTTATTTGTCACTTAGATGACGCCTAAATATTTGCATAGTATACACAACGTTGATGTTATAAATCTTGTTACCTTCTGCACAACTGTTTATCACATCTGTCAAATAATTAACCAATTCGCGACGTTTGTATCGCGAAGCTAAGCAACTGCGTTCCATTTCTGAGAACAATCGGTCGAAATAGCAATCTATCAACACTTCCATGATTTGCATGTAATTTTAGTGACATATAAAAGTCACGCAACGATCGTCGCTAGCGTTCACGTTTTAATGATTACGAATAGAGGAAACGACACGGCACGTACGACTGGGTTAATTCGATTAGATGTAAAGTTGCATTTCAAAAGCTTCTTTAATCCTTCAGGAACAATCTAGATTTATACGGAAAAAGTGTTGGTGTAAGCTTCTTATACATATATGTAAAAATCAAGATTTATTTTAATATTGCGCAAAGTATTTTAAAGTAAAGCAAAATAAGAAATAACATTTTTTCCAAATATTAATTTTTAAAAGAATAATACAACTGCATATTAATTATACGACAACATATTAATTATGATTATAACAAATGTCTGTATGATTTGTTACAGATATCTTTGCATGCCCGAAAATCAAGACCCACAATTTCTTCTAGAGTACAGAGGTCCCGTCTCTATGAAGGGGAAATCCGAGCCTATGAATGTATGGTTTCTGTCTAGGGAAAGAGAGCTGACATCATAAATCGCTATGGCAATGAATCTTATAGCAATAATTTCAAGAATCAGTTTGAGACTTATATACTGTTAAAAAATAAAATTACTACATTTCGTCAAAGAGAAACAAAGTAATAAAAATGATAATATCAGCGATGACTGTATTGTAAGTGTACAAGGCAAATATAATCGTTATTTATTTGGTGACATTGTGGCAATAAAAACTTATTTTCCCGTTTTGTGCAACCCGTGTCGTGCGACAGGTCATCGGTAATCGCTTCTAGCGAAGAGTTCATAGGTGCAAAATGTTTTGCCATTAGCTAAGAAAAAATTAACAAGAATAACCAGATAGATAATCCGTGCTATGTATACGGCTAAGAGATGTAACGGAACTTGTTCTATTCCTCTTTAAATCTGTAAGATCATTATGATGAATCTTATATGTATTTTATTCGACTCTAAGAATGCTGAATCAAAAACAGCGATGAATTTATATCTTTCATTAAAGTTTTTATAAAAAATTTAAAAAAGTAATGCATTAAAATCCATTTACATTATTTCGATTTCGAAGTTATCCAATGTTAAATAATCGTGTAATAATCATGATTATTTGCATTAGATTTTTTAAAATTTGCTTATCATATTACACAAAAGCAATTAAAATAACAATATTTATAAATTACATATAAGCTATATATTGATATTAAGTGACAGATATAAAAAACCATTAATGTAGCCAATTTTACAGTATTATAATAATATTACTCAAAGAATGAATATATACATCAAATGATTCATCATTATACAATGATTTAAATTTATGTCGCGTAAAATAATGAACTATTAATTATTTATATAAAAATTATAGAAATTTTCTTTGACTTTTCAGAATATTTTGAACGATTCATATATAAAAATCTACAAATATAAGAGATTTTAGATATGTATAACGCATAGTTAGCAAAATGTTAAAACAAGTAGGGCATATTTATATAAAATAAAAAATGAGAAATTATCAAACAATTAACATTTTATACTACGAATGAAGTCAATCAAATCTTTCTTATTCTTTTTATTTATGAAAGTTTTTATTAGCATCTACGTACAATAAACATTCATGCAACATCCTCGAGTTATCGATCATTGTGGAGAGATTTTCGGTAAGTATTGTAGCCTGCGGGGCGACCGCACTTTCCATTCACACAGCCATTCACGGGATACGGCTATGCACGAACATTACAGTGAACGATTCGACGAGGACGTGCCGTGAGAAGAGAGAAAAGCGTTTTGCAGCATCGGCGGTGAAATTTCGGCAGGTGTACACCGATAACCATGCGTGCATGCGTGCGTTCATTGGTGTACACCTACACGTGAAACCGGCAGGTCTACGTGAAAGGTATGGTGAACGGTAAAGAATCAGGTATTTAAATAAGGAACCAAGGGATATACATAGGGGGGAAGGGAGGTCGATCCCGGGTGGTTCGGCAGAGGACGCCACGTCCACCGCTTGGCTGGACAGGTACCTGTCTGGCGACTACAGGTCGAGAGAACCCGTTCTCGTCCTTCTACGGGTCTCGCCTTTCTCCCTTCCTCTCTCCTCTTCTTTCCACCACCTCCTTCGTCGTACCTTCTTCCCCGTAGACGGTCCGACAATTTCCCACTCCCCCCTTTCGCCATAGTCTCGGGGCCCGACTTCAGTCCCCACCCGGGCCGCGAAACTGCATGAGTGAATGTCAGCAACACTCAGTACAGTTACTGACGTTCCGTACTGTCAACGATCACCCGTTGATCGTCGTCGTCGTCTTCGTCGTTGGCTGAGTCGAGTGCAGTTTTACTATGCACCGCTCTTGATACTATATTTCGTAAGTGATACTATCCTGCCATGTAGTCCCCCATAACAGATCCTTCTCTCCCTCTTCCTCTTCACGCTACGCATCGTTTTCCTTTTCTCTTTTTGCGTGCCAGTCCCGTATGTTTCACCGATCTCTCTCTCTTTCGTCCGCTCGGCAGGTAGTCCGCGATCTCGCACGGCTACAGGTGCGCGTAAGGTGCTAACGTTTTCTCGACGATCCGCAGAGCCTTCCACATTCTTCAGCCGATCGACCTGATTCGAACGGCGGAACAATTCGTCAAGCTTCCCCGACGTTCGCGCGATCGTCCTTGCGAACGATCGATCTGGAGCGCGATCCAGCGAGTTGCAGTTGATTGCCAGAATTAGGCGATTTCGCGGAGTGATTGGTGCTCGCTTATGTTGCGCGTTAATAGAATGATGTGTAGTCTCAATTGTGAATTTTTATTTATATAATTGATTTTATGATATAATATATACACAGATACAGATTTTTTTACGTAATTTAATGTGCAATATGGATCATCAAATTCGAATAAAAATAATTCATAATTGCATTGATATCTTCAAAATTGTAAAAACCTTGATGTGTTGCAGATAACATCATTTGGCACATAATAAATTATCTGCAAAATTAATTTTAAATTAATTAATTAAAAAATTTACTTTGCATGAAGTTCATATTTTGAAAAAAGTTAGTTAACGGTTAGTTAGGTGAAGTATTAATTTTGTTGTAAATTAGCTAATATAAAAAAAATATTAGTTTAATATTTCGATGTACAATATCGTGAAAGCACAAATCGATACGAATGTGTCGATGTACGCTTTACAGCGGTCTGTTGCAACGGCACTCGACTTTGATCGAGTGTTATTTTGCTCCAAATTGTAGTTGTTCAGGTCGAGCAATCCACGTTGCATTTGCGGTGAATTAATATCACGGCAAATCGCAATAAACGTTCGCTCCAACACGTGGCTGTTTCAGGAAATAGCTACATTTGCACGATTAACGTTCTTTAATGACTGTGAGATAATTAGGTATACTTTTGACAGAGAAACTCGATGAAACGGTGCGGTTAGTCTTTAATATAAATACGATTTAAAGAAGAAGCTGAGAAGGAGGAAAGAGGAAAAAGAAACTCGTATCAAAAAGAAAGAGAGAGAGAGGAAGAAAAAGAGAGAAAAACATTAATCCTTGACTTTCCAAATTCCTTCTCAAGGTGAAGCCTATCGAGCGAGCCACGGTGATCTTGTATGCACGTATGGATGAGACCGCCACGATGACTGTTCCTCCGCCACTACCAGCGAAGACTCAGGCCCGGGATGCGAACCAGGCCGCTCGGCAGACTGTGTCAATCCGGACCGTTTCTCCTTCCGTCTCGCCGCCTCTCGCCACCGGACCCGGAGCAACGGTATTCGTCGGAGTTAGCGCACCTACCGTCGATACCGCGACAATCTGCAGGGGAAGAATCCCGGAAGTACAATCGGCGAACGGCGGTTACGAAGAACGGAGTGACGTTGTCGAGTCGTCGCGACAGCGGTGGCAGCAGTCGCAGCATCAGCAGCAGGCCGCGCATATAGTGAAGATCAAGATCAATCCGGATGGCGAAAAGAACAGCAGGGTGATATCGACGGTACGCCTGACCCTGGATGAAAACGACCGGAATCGCGACGAGATCGAGACGAAAGCGTGCGAACGCTCGGGCAGACATCGCGGTGACGGTGCTGTAGTGGTGAGTGCGACGAACCTCGTGAACGAGCAACATTGTGCGAGTGCTGGTGCCGGTGAGGGCTGTGTGAGGATCAGTGTCTTCAGCGGTGACCCGGCGTTCGACAATCAAGAGCGTAACAGTAACGACGACGACAACAGAGACATGGTGCACCGCGGTGCTACGGAGACTCTGAACTCGACCACCCTAGGCAGCCGTACGAACGCCTGTTTCTACTATAACTCCTACCAGAATCCATTAAATGGCATGGTTATGTCGAGCGGTCAATGTTCGCCTAGCGATACCTTAGACAGCGGTACGTGCAGCGACCTTGATGGTACGCCGCCGCCGTTGCCGAAGAAGAAGAACGCAAGCACGGTGATACTGGCCAACAGCACGCACAACCGAACCGGCAGCATCACCAGCAGCGGTGCCGAGGTCGACAGCGACGATAACGAGAGCAACATCAGCTGCGACTCTTTGAACGGCGGCGATGCAAGCGAGTATCGAGTACACGAGACGACATCGAAGGATGAAGCAAACATGGATGCCGTTAAGAAATTGATCACGCTTTCGACAAACAGCATCGACGATCGCATCGAAGAATCTAGCAACATTCATCAACAGATTTCGGCGGAGCTCGATCGCGCGACACGTTCGCCAACGTCATCGATCAGCATTTCATCGTCGCTGTCCGGTACGTCTTCCCTGTCGAAAGCATCCTCGACGCCGCGGATAAGGAGTCCCGAACCGATGATCGAACAGAACGGTAAATCGACATCGCCGGTCGTCAAAGAGTGCACATACGAAGAGAGGAACCAATTGGAACAGGAGAGGACAGAGCAGGAGCAGTGCGTCGACGTCACTCAGAATCGGTCGACCGGTCACAAATATCTGTACGAGGATGACAGGTATTATAATTTCCACGTGAATGAGCTGCGCGATAATAATAAGAACTCGAATGGTGAACACGGCGTCGCCGAGACTGACGAGAGTTTCGCCGGTTATAAAATTCACGATAAGGAAGCCATACGAAGTGCCAAAGGGACCGTGCGAGGTGTGAAGAATAGAGTACGAGCGGGCATCGCAACGTTCTTGCAATCACCCACCTCCAAGGTTTGTTCCAATCATTTCTAGTATATTATATAAAAGGAAGATTTATATAATGCTGAAGAGCGTTATAAATAAGCATTGCAAATGAATTTACAATGTAATAATATTTGAATTTCTTTTACATTTACTATGATAAAAAACGCAATTTATAATTCAGGAATATTTTTAGTAATATTTTTAGTAATCTTTCAATAAAAAGCTAAATTTTTTAATACATAAAAAATAAGAATATCGCATAAATTTTAAATGGAGATCGATGTGAAAATTATTATTAAAAATATTCTATTAAAATATTATGTTTCATAAATATATATACAATTTAATTTTACATATACAATAATTAAAGAAAAAGGATACTTTCTTGCAATATAAATTATGTAACGTTCTCCTTATATTTGCGACTTTTTGCATTTTAAATATCGATCAATAAACACAATGCAATAGGATTGAATCCTCGATAAACGATGGGTCGACTTGTTATGCAAATCAAGTACGGGTACCGCAAGTACTTGAGATGCGTATTGACTAACTTAGAATCA